GAGAGAGAGAGAGAGAGAGAGAGAGAGAAAGAAAGAAAAGAGATGATCCTTCAGCCAATCTGTACTTGTCAGAAGATTGTATTACGAAAATGAGATAACAATTTTATCAATCCATATTATCTTTAACCTCTTTCGTGAAGTTCGTAATTTAATTCGATAATTGAAAATCGACAGCCTTCAAAAATTTTAACAAACTATCGTGCAATTCATTTTATATTTCTATGAAAATGGACAAATATCTTGCGTATTTTACGATTTTTCATAAAACCCGTAAAAATCTGCAATCAACTGATAAGAATTCCCTGCCTGCCGAAAAATTTTGAAAATATTTTCAACAATTAGAAATAAATCTCGAAAACACGTAGATTCGTAAAATTAACATTTCAATTTTCATTCGCAGACAAAATCAACGTCAAAGATAAATTCAAATTATCGTGCGTACAAAGATTCAAGAGCGTTGAAACGAACTTTCACGCCATCGCGACGATTGGAAAATTGCAAAAATTGTTTTCACCTAACATAAGGATCGCCTTTTTTTCGCCTGTTGAACTTCATCATTGGCGCCGAGACACGCTAATTAACTGAAGCGTTCTCGAATCGGGAAAGCTTGAACTTTCCATTGATCCTGTTGTTCCTCCGCGTGAAATTGCATTAATAGTACAAAGCATCGGCACCGCAAAGCCCTAAGACTTTCTCAGCAATTGTAATCGGATATGGGACTTAACAACAACCGCGGTGGCAACCTTTATGAAACAAGTATTTCGCAAGTTTCCATAGAGTGGATCGGCAGAGTGGAAGCGTTACCGAGTGCCGCGTTTTAACCGAAGAGGAACCAAGTTCCCTCGGTTAGATACTGCACTGTTGGCGGTAAATCAAATCCTCCTGTTCAACCGAATCACCCTGTTCATTATTCGTTCGCACAGACGCGATCGTTGAACTCGAAACAGTCTACAGCCAAGAGACGGGAGTGTCGTCATTAACAATTATGATCGATGCTTGATTGACAGAGGAATGCTCGAGTAACTGATAATATTTCAAACTCGAATCTTGAGCCTTGATAAGAAAGTATTCATTCGTGTGTATATGCGTAGTTAGTACTACTAAAAAAAGAACAAATTGATCTATTAATTTAATGATACATCGAGAGTACGTGTGTTAATTGATTCATCACATAAAGTTCCTCGTTCATTTTTCTCATACTTTAATAAGAAAAAAGAAGAAAGAAAGAGAGAGAAAAAGAAGGAAAAGCAATTTGAACAAACTGTGAAAAATTAGAAGACCGTGGATCAACAAACATGAATTTAAAAACGCAAATTCGAGTCAAGCTAAATATCCTACCGATAAAAAAATAATTTTTGCTCATTCAATTAAGATTAAGATTCTAATTACTTCTCAGATCGTATTTTTAAATATACGTACCTTCGTACGAACGCATTGAAAATGTCTAGGAACATTATCCCAATGAACAGTTACCGCGATTTACTAATTTTCGTCTACGGAAAGTCGGGGCAACTTGCTGATAATTGCCGAAACTAATTACAGGTTGCCGTTATCAGGAAGGCACGTCGAGGGGAGAGGGTTTAGTTATCGGTCGGGCGGGCGTGGATGATAATGGAGTAGTGCGTGTGTCTAAGCAGAAAATTACACTAATTTGATAACGATAATGATAATGAAAATGGCATTAATTTGCAACGGTATCGAACAGGCAACTTGTACGTCGAGATAAAACAGTTTAACCAGTAATTTAGTTCATTAACCATCGGTTACATTAACTTGCTGACTGATGATTACATGTATGTATATGTGGAAAATACTGTACAATTTTGAAAGTGACTGACTCATTTTAACTTGTGTGTTTCATCTCTCGCACGTCATGAACGTTTTGTTGTGAAAGTTACTTATGAAAAATAAGCTCGATCGCTACCTTATAATTAATTTATGAATGTTTATATTTACTTGTACCAGTTTATGTATATTTGAAACAAATAAAGAGATTTATTTTCTTTATCAATCATAATTATTAATTTGTGAATATTCGAGAATAATGAAAAATGAATTTATGAACATGTTACAAAGTTGAACAATTTACTCCAAGATTCTTATGATCTGCAATGCTATTTAAAGATTGATAAACAAATTTCAAAGCTCAGGCTTTAAATAACAATTAAACGTTTCAAATGAACAAGTTTCCAAAAACAGCACACAACTTCTTTCTGTAAAAAAAAAAAGATACAGGCATCTATCAAAAATAATACAATAGTCTATTTTCGTTTTTCTTTTTATTCACCCTTGAAACAACACTTCGTTCATCGAGTCATTTTCAATGAAACGCGAATACTCCGAAACGCAAGCGAACACACAAAAAAAAAAAAAAACGTTCAACGAGTTTTATCCAGAAATCTGAATTGTTTTCATTTGAACGCGAAACGAGAAGCGAACCATCAGCTACCACGCCGAGATTGCACTTTTCATTAGCGGCATTCGTCATCCTCGATGCGTTTGCAAACGCAAATTAACAGTTTCTTTGTTGCGGAACAGACAGATCAGTGTGTCATAGTGCGTGAGATTCTCGACGCGTATATAAGAGCGGATCGGGCCGAGGCATGTCAGACAAAAACTCGACTGCCTTTTCGTGCGAGCTTGTGCGCGAAAGCGACAACAACATGGAGAAAAATGTGCTGCTCTTGTGGATCGTCTGTCTAGCGTTCTTAGTAACTGATGCGAAACCGTTCTCTCAGCAAGACAATCGTAAGTATAAATTAAAAGTTAAAGTCCAGTCGACTCAATCATCTTCAATTATCTTACCTATTTTTGAATTCCATGAATTCGGAGAATTTGGATCTCATTTGTTTCTTCAAACAAGTAGGTTTAAATAAATAAGAAGTTAAAATCCAGTCGACGCGAGACTCAATTATTTTACCTAAAAATTCGGAGAATTTGTTTCTGCCACTTGATTTCGTGAAATAATATTAAAAATTGTAGCTTTCGTACACTTGTGAGAAATTTAGAGATTCAAAAAACGGTGGACAGTAATTATATTAAAACGAATGCCATTGTCCAATTAATTGCAGTAGGCGCGATTAATTAACTATCGCGATTTAATATCAGTCAATTTAATTTTTATGATTCGATGTGCAGATGATGATGAGCTACTTTCACCGAGAGACACCGTATATTATCCGTTTTGGTTGATCAGACCTATTTATGATCAGGACGATATTGGCGATAATACTAATAGAAGGTCTACTATATCGTACGCTAATGTCGGGTAAGTTAACGTGATTTTACTATTAAGTAATAATAAGAGCTGTGTTAATAATTTGGAAGGTGTGCCAATCGATTGAAAAATAAAGGAGAACATTATTCAAAAATGCAAATATTATAACATTTCCACTCTTAACCGTAGCCAAACTCACTGTTTACGATTATTTTTTCACTGAATTTCATTTCTATAAATATTCACTACAATACCAAACTTCATGCTTAACAGTCAGATTAAAATAAAGAATAACTGGGTATTCTTTACCCAATAAATTAATCAAACTGCATTTATAAGGATTCACCCGACAATTAACATTCTTGAACGCGCAACGTACACATTACAATCTCAATTTACCAAACGAGATAATAAAATAAGTATGACAATAAAATGAAATAATTTTTAATTGAAACGTTGTTCCAGAGCCGGATGGGGTCGTTAAAAAGCTATCAATCTCATCTTCAATTCATCTTGCAACCACCAGCCCAACGAGTGCGTCGTAAATTCATATTAATCCCCAACGTTAAATTAATGCCACGGTTCGTCAATTATCAAATTATCGTCGAGATCGGCGAGACTGATGCCGTGGATTAATAACAAATTACCAACAGGTAGAAACAGTCTTTCGTAAGCAAATTTTCTGTTTGCCTGTCGACTAATTAATACTCGATCATGCCGATCGATACTCCCTCGTGCATCATGTGTTGCCGAATCGTACGTCAAACAAGGCTGCCGTGAATTCGCTATTTCGCACATTGAACTGTACATTGCGTTCAAATTCGAGATCGATGAGAAAGGGATCACGCAGACCTTGGAAGATTAGGCGCGAAAAGATTGGCCAGACCGATTGCTGAGAATTGTTAAACAGTAGTATAAATATTTACAAACGCCAAGCCACTGACAGCGATGCTATATATGAGAGACGAGAGCGGACTCCGAAATATCGGTGGATTTATTTAGCGACAACTTGCAGGAAGCATTGAGCTAATCTAATTTTAGTCCCACCGCTGCTAATTTCGTCCTCGTGTTTATACGTGGAATCAGTGACTCTCGGAGAGTTCAGATGTGTCTTACGTCTATGTGTCTTACGTGGAGCGATTGTTGCTCCTTTTCAATTAACTTAACCATCGCCAATCATCCTTGTGTAATTATTTCAAGTGTTCGAGACAGTTATATGTGAAATTTAAATATAGTAATATCTCGTAGAAACGATTAAGAGATGTAAGTTGCATATACTTTGTACAAACTTAAGGTACATGTATTAAATTTGTTAACTTTGTCCTTGTACAGTGTTTAAGTTATTAATCCATTAATCTGTTCTATAAATTTATCCTCCTAGTAGAAATCCTAAATTTTAAATTAGGGATGGATTCAATTATTCTACTGGACATTCGTTCGTGGAACATCTAAATAAAAATTCTCTTAATAGTAAATCCGAAGTTTCCTCTGAAATTTATTATCCCAGGATGATCCGAGTCCAAATTTTACATTAGATTTTATATACATTAAAAATTATCATTTCGAATATCCATTCTCAAAATGAAGAATATTCACCTAATAAGAAACTCTAAATTTTAAACGAATTGGGAATCCAATTATTCTACTGAACATCCGTTCGCATTTAGGAACACCTAAATGAAGATTCTCTTGATAATAAATCTTAAGTTTCCTAAATTTCCTCTAAAATTTACTGTCTCAGAATAATCCAATAGTACTAGATTTTACATAAATTAAAAATTATCATTCCAGATATCCATTCTCAAAAAACATCAAAATAAAAATTTTCCTAATATCGTAAAAGATTCTTCTACCCCAAAATTTACCAAATTTGTAATCCCAAGACAGTCGTACTGTGAAAAGGAAAAAAGCATATAAATATCCCTAAACTTGTGTGACAAAGATCTTATTCCAAATTTTCCTCTACTGTCGTTCTTTTACAAGAAATTGCATAATTTTACACACACGACAAACAGCCAGTGTGATAAAATACGCTGTGAAGAAATCACAGAGATCATAACCGAATACTCATGTAAAAGCAGCTCTAAAGATACTTTAGAGTTCTTTTAAGTCTATTTAAAATTCATCTCAAGAAAGAGAAAGCCGATAAAAAAGTTAAAGCCCTATCAGTTCAAGTCATAAACTTGGAAAAATTGCTCTGTCCATGGTCTATGGAACTGAATTCATGCACGAATGAAACGACAATTATTCCGAATTCTTTGCTCGATTCGCTGAATCTCTCGTACGAGAAAGACTCGTTCTGCGCTCCAAGGGAATCGAAATCAAATGGTTTGGAATTACGGCGACAGGTTTATCGCTGTTGGATTCAGAATGTAGGAGAAAACCTACTGAGAATTTGTAGAATTGGATAATTCTACAAGTGATCGCGAAGTGACACGAAGGAAATTGACATGCTTTGAATTTGAGAATCGGTGGAATTTGGCTGATGGAGTAAATGACTGGTGACAGTGAATTTAATTAATAAACTGCATTTATATGAGACGGTTAAAATATAGTAAATATCTAGGAATTTAGTTGGTGAAATGAATCTCTGACTAGTCTTAAAAAAATAAAGTAAATTTGTACAAATATTCGTACGTAGTTTACCATCCGTAAATTATCATATTCTCGGAATTTTTGCACCTGTATTGTTTGAATTTAAAAAATCTCAAGATTGGAGGAAGATAATATAACTTTCACATTTTGTGTATTTTAATATATAAATAATTAAGCAGAAGCTTGAAAACATGTTTAACAAAGAACTAGACTGACAGAGAGGGAGAGCAGGAAAATTTTCACAAATGCGTTTAATTTCAAATGTCCATGATGGAACACGATGTTTATTAAAACTTGACGTATTGATGTGTGATATTTCATTATTCATTCATACTTCGAACAGATTATAGATTCCATCCGGTG